CTCTGGGCATTGTCCTCCCATCTTTGCGGTTAGAGACCAAGCGGTCTAGTCCTCTCATGAGGATTCCAGACAACGATTAACGCCGACCGTCTTCTGTTGTGAGCCGAGCTACATGTCTGGCCGACAATGGCTTCTCTCTTCTGCATTCGGCGATATCGTCCATCACTGCTGTCCGCTATCCGACAACTGTTTTGGGAGTGGTCGGCACGTGAAACTCCCAGTGTTCATTTTTTTATGGCTCTCTCAGTGACAGTTGGCCCTCTTCGGCTTCACTGAGTGATCATACCTCACTGTCACACAATATTGCCGATGAGACTTTAGAATTGAAGAGTGTGAAGAGTTGAGAGCAGGTTTCCGTTCTGTTGTTGCCTAAGTCGACCTTTGATGGTATGGAACTGGCGTCAACCGGCCTTCTTTCTTCATTGAATCTCTCCCTAGTGGGGCAACACGCTGATCTCATGGCCCAGGTAAATGTATTTATCAGCATCTTGGACATTTTAACCGTTTAATATTTTCTGGGCCTTCGGCAGAGCGTAGCGTCCGATCGCAGTATCTTCGTCTTTAGTCGAGTGATTCTCAGTCTGATTTCTGCACTGTTTCTCTCGAGCATTTTCGTAGCTGTCCTACCTGTCTGACGTTTCCCTCAAACAACACTGTGTCACCATCGAACCTTTGCTCTTCACCGTTGATGTTTATTTCACCTTTTTAATTCATTCTCCAAAACTCCGTTTCCAAACTGGCAGTGAACTGTTTTGGAGGGATAGTATTCCCTCGTTTCACGCGCTTCTCTACGAGACACCCGAAGGAGTTTCGAACAGAGTGATATTTCTGAAGCAGCAAGAGTTCACTTCCTTTTCCAGGTCAATCGAATGAGTGTCGATTCTCTACTCTTTCCCTGCAATCCGCACTGCGTTGTGCAACATGAGTGTCGAACGCTTTATCGTAATCGACGAAGGTCATGCACTGAGGGAGTTAGAATTCCCTTACGCACTCGAACGGTTGCCTTAAGGGAAAGATACTCTCCATTGTGTTGCATCTCCTTCAGAATGCTGTTTATTCTCTTGGCTGCTGTCCGTACAGACTTACTGTCAGTCCGTTGGTAGTCATGTTAGTGAACAGGCTGAAGACTAGCGAGATCAGGCACATTGGGTGTTAGTTCGTCAGATCTTCGTCCTCGTTTTTCTTGAGCCACACGATTGCTTTTGACTCGTATCAACTTGATGATATCTTTTCCGTCTTAAAGTAGCAACTGAATCTCTCCGCTAGAGCCCTCAGCAACGTCTGACCACTTGGTGTGATTATTTCAATTGTTACACCGTCTCACCTTGTGGCTCTTCCTTCCTTCATCTGCTGCTCGGTATGCCGAAGTTTGTTTATGGTGATTGAGAATGCGTGTCATTCTGACCGTTGGACTGCTGGTGCAGCAGTTTTAGCAGAGAGGAGAGACCGCACCTCAACTCTGTCAGTCGTTAATGTGCCATCCATGTTGTTCAGCGGCGTGATAGTCGACTGATAAATAACTGATAAATAGCTAACTCTTACATTGTCTAATGCTGCTGTGGTCTTCGGCTGTCCTATCTGATTTTCGCAACCGGAAGGTTTCTAAGTCCTCCTTCAACTTCCGCCTAATGAGATTGTCGAGAATAGAATGCCTCACCCTGTCGATCTCTTCTCTCATCATCCTCTTCCGGTTCTCTAGCAAACTCTTTGTTCCTTCTGATATGCTTCCTTGCATTTTTTAAATGTTACCACCTCGGGTGATTTTACAGCAAACTTTGCAGCCGCCTTCAAGGCTCCGTTACTCGCTACGAATTCTCGCTTCGTCGAGTACCTTCGGCCGTTGTCTACGATTTGCTGTCTGTTGTGCATTCCTGTTGATCTTCTCCCGAAGTTTAACGTGGCCCACATCAGTTTGTGGACGCTCTCTGTGCTAAATGATGACACTTCTGCTGTATCTTGGATGATGCGACGTTTGTCGAACAGAACGAAGTCGATCTCGTTCTTCATCGCCACTTTGGACATGACTCATTCCACCTCCTGTTGGTCTTCTTTCGAACGAGGTGTTGGTAATCTACAGGTATTTCGTTTCTGCCATCCAATCACCTCTCTCATTTAAGTATCCGGTACCGTACCTACCGACAAACGTTTCGTCGACCTTCACTGTCTGACTTTGGCATTGAAGTCTCCCTCCCATGACGAGGGTATATGTGCATTTTCGAACTAATGCCTATTTCAGTTCTTGACAGAATTTTTCCACTTCTTCATCGTCAGCTCTGACTGTGGGAGCACAGGCTCGAGTGATCTTCAAAGTTTTCTTCTTGTCCATTTTAACGCATGGCACACCTAGTCTTAGTGACTTCAGTTATCAGGCGACTGTTTTGGGAATATGCTTTTGCTGACTTCTGATTCCTCCTGTGTATGGCAGCAGACAATGATCAACATTTTTCGTTTCAGACAGAGGTATGCCTTCAATCTGCCAATCGTGTTTCACACTATTTTTATTCTTCTCTTGATTTCGCAGTCACTTCTCTGTTGTAGACATTAGCTGTATGAGGAAAACGTAGTTTCATACTACTTCGGGCCTAAATCCATTGAAGTCGACAAGTCTTGGCATCGCGTGATTGTTAAACATGAATGTGGTCATTTAAGGTTCGTTTTCAGCCCTGCTTTGATGATCGCGTCGTTCAGCTTCTGCACTCTTTCCGGGATTTCTTCTGCAGAGCTTGTGAAAATCAAAGTACTCTGGACAAACCGCAATGGTTGAAGTAGTGTTCACCATCCTCAACCCCTAATTTTTCCAAAGTAGTGTCTTAAATATCTCTTCTAAGGC